ACAATGTGACTGCTCTTCAAGGGCAGTTGCAGCAACTGTTCCATCTCCATGATGCAGGTGTTGACCAATCTTTCATAGATACTTCCTGTGTTTCACTACAAAGCCATCATTGGAGTAAAAATCCATTCGATTGTGCTTTGCTTGTGTGAATTCGAGAACGAAGACAAGCTGAGATTGCTTCCGAAATGCAGCCATGCGTTCCACATGGAGTGTATCGACACTTGGCTCTTGTCTCATTCAACATGCCCTTGTGTAGAGCTTCATTAATCCAGATTTCTCCCCCAAAACACATGTTCCCCCATGTTCTTGTGCTTGAATCTGGTAGTGAGAGCGAGAGAGATTGTGACTGATATGGGGAGAAGCAGTTCGGTGTGAGATCAAATTCCCATCTTGGGACGAACTGGAGTCGTCTTCCCACCGTAAATCATGTGAAATCGTGGAAAATAATGAACTCAACAACCAAACAGTAGAAATGGATTCTGGGGAAAAGTGGTGCCGGTTAGGCTAGGAAAGTATAGGAATATTGATGGTGGTGAAGGTAGTAGCAATAGCAACGTTGATGATAGAAGATGTTTATCCATGGGATCCTTTGAGTACGTAATGGATGAGAATCTCTGCTGCAAGTCCCATAAGAACTCAATGAAGAAATCATCGAGCAAGAAGAAGACTTGTCTTCCATTGACACCAGGTCACCGCCTGGCGATTTCTGAAGCGATGTGAATCGACAAGATTCGAAATCACCAGGAACTTTGAAGGTAACAACAATGGCAAGGCCATCACGGTAAGAGCAAGAAGGAAAGCTTCTCGATATCGAAAATTTGCTTAGGGGGAAGAAGGACAAGCAGAACCTTACAGATGGTTCATCGAGGAGGGCTTTTTCATTTCGATTTCCGGTGCATCAGAACGCTTCCGCCTTGATGATGATGATAGTATGAAGGTAAAAAGTGTTGCCCGTGATGGGAAGGATACTATTTCGATATAGACTCGGCCGGTGGGGAAATGGCGTCAGTGAATTCGGTGCCGACGAGGAAAAACCAGAGCTGCTATAGCTTAGATTCACAAGCCAAAACACCATCTTTTGCAAGGGACGACTTTGCTTGGCTAGCTGGGAAACAAAACAAGGTTGTTCACTCATCCTTTATACCAAATGTCTAGTTTCTTTTTTTCTTTTCTTTTTTCCCCTTTACATTGATCATCTTGTATCCGGAAAAACACAGGAAGTAGAGGAAAAATCGGGTATATTGAAACAAGTCTTTATTATTAGGCATGCCCAAATTGTTATCATATTTTGTTGTCCAACTTCTTACAGAGCAGAAAACATAGTAAATAACCTTACATTTCTGGTTTTGTTAGTCTTTTTCTATCTTTTTTTTTTTCAAATGCAATCAAGGGGTAGTGAGTAGATTCAGATCTTTTATGGTGCTTCTGGAGATATGTTTTAGGCTAACCAAAACAATGGCACGGACCTAGAATCTCTTTCTTAACCTCCTTTAATGCCGAATGCGACCTGTAATCTAATCTTAAAGACCAAAATGCTTTTATTAATTGTCAATTAGTTCAGTGTAACAGTCACTCAATTTTTTTGTTAAGGTTAAAAATTTGAATTATGACATCGTAAATAGTGAATATTGAGTTAGAAATATTATTCTCATAATAAGTCTTTGGAACACTCGATCTAATTAATTAATCAATAAATCAAGAAGTAAAGTCGGAGTTTGAATTATGATATTGTGAATGAAGCATACTGGGTTAAAAAGACCGTCTTCATAATAAGTCTTTGCAATACTTGACCTAGATTAGTTAATTAATAGATCAATAAATAAAGTCAAAAATTTAAATCATGACGTTACGAATAGAGCATACCGAATTAGAAGGATTGTCCCTATAAAATATCTCTACAATACATAATCTAAATTATTCGATCAATTATCAAATGCAAGCGTGGTTTATAAAAAAATCAAAATGCCTTTTCTTTTGAATAAAAAATTCAAAATCATACAGGGAGAACAAAATCCAACCAGTTCCTCGTTGCTGCAGTTGAAGTAATAATTTATGAACATGGATGGAATGTTAAAAAAAGCGTAAACTACATGTTTACTATCTTAATTATCATTTTTATTTGTTTTGATCACTCAATTTTTCTCTTCTTCAAAATCATGCTTAGTATTTAATTTTGGTCTTCTACTGCTAAAAGCTAATGGTAATCCTAATGTACCACATAAGGTAATATCATGTCATCATTAAACAAAATAAATAATATCATATCAGCAGTTCTGTTAATTTTTAACTGGGGTGATCAAATAAAATCAAAATGTAACATTATGTATGATTTGAAAAAAATAATTAATTGACCAAAACAAACAACATTGATAGTTGAGGCTCTAATGTATAGCTATCCTAAAAGGTTATAAAAGGACAATAAACGATGGTGAGTGAGAAATGGGGAAAACTCAAATTGAGACACGACTCTTTTCTATGAATTGAATTTGAAAGCGTAGTAGTGACAGACAAATGGCAAAAAGGCTGGTGAGTCTATGGTATTACTACTGTTGCATTTAATATGGTGTTTAAAGAAGAAAACAAATGTGGTAAAGTTGAAGGGAAAGTAGACATTAATAAGTCACGGTAGCTGTTGGGAGGCCATTTTCTAACTTTATTTCTCACTCCTAACACCATTTACCACTGTATTTGTTGGACTCCATTCCTCTTCTATTTTAATTTCAGATTCACATTTTCTTTTCTAGGATTAAATATGTAAATCATCTCTTATTTATAAAATATCTTTTTGTTGAGAAAAATCAAGTTAAAATTTGATGATAGATGTATCTTGTTATCAGGTAGATACGTGTTTATTTTAAAATTTAAAAGTTTTCAATTAATTATTTATTTTATTAATTATCTTTATCCTGAAATGTTACTTTTGCTATTAATAGATATTAAACCCACGAACTAGATGAAAGGAAAAGTGTCAACTGAAATTTTTTAACCACTTGTTCTATAAATTATTAACATAATTAAAAAAATTATCAACAAATATTATCTTATAATTATCTTAAAATATTAAAAAAATATTACACATCCCTTCCTCCACCATTTTGCCCTTCCTCTTTTACTCAATTAACTATTTTCACGTCCCGGTGTTATCCTAGTTATTAGATTCTTTGATTTGCATATTTCCAAAACGGATGAGTTAAGGATGGACGGTTGGGAATAGTTATTCCATTTAAAAATTATTATATATTTTAAATATTATATATATATATATATATATATATTCAATAATTTCTTTTCCTTTTTCATAAAATTTTATCTTCTTTTAAAATTTTAGAATTCTACACCCATCCCTACTTTTGCATAACCTATAAATAACATTTGATGGGAGTAGAGGTTACGATATATCATTTTTTCTGTAACAATGTATGATATATCAAAATTACCAAAATTGGTCCTTCAAATAAGAAAATTCCCTTTTTTTTAACGTTTGTCAGTATCTAGCGTTGTAAAAAAATTAGGGTAAACTACATGTTTAGTACCTAAGTATCAATTTTATTTTATTTAATACTTAAACTTTCATTTATTTCAAAATCATATCTAATATTTATTTTTTATTTCATTTTAGTACGTTTCCTTAAAAACATAACAAAATTACTGCACGTGGCATTTTCATGGGTAAATAGTATCATTCATTACTTAGCTATCTTCTAACTCCTATTTTGGTCACTAAAGTTTAAATATTTTCAATGTAACTACTCAACTATCAAATTACCATGTTTAACAACTCTAATTTATTTTATTAATAAATTTTGTGACATGAAATTATTATTATTATTATTTTATTAATATATAATTAAAATAAAAAAAAATTAAAATTGAAAGGTAGAGTGACTATATTAGGAGTAATTTGAAAGTTAAGTAAATAAATAAAAAATTAAACTTTAGTGACCAAATTATGAGTAAGAAGATAGTGAGTGATGATGATGTAATTACCCATAAAAAGTGGTGTTGAGTTTTTAACGGCGAGGAATCAAAACGAAACAAAAAGTAACCATTAGGATAATTTTGAAATAAATAAAAGTTTAAGTACTAAAATAAAATAAAATTGATAATTTAATTATTAAATGTGTAGTTCACCCATGTCGTGACCGTCTTTCGGTTTGACCCGGAATCGGGCTTCGACTTGGATTAAATGGTTTGGAGTCGCCACCGACCATTTTAAAACGAATTTAGGTGGGTCGGACACCATCTTACCTGATATGCGTTTTACCAGAAACGTGTCGGGTTCGGGAGTCGGTTACGGTCAAGGAATGATTAACACCCTTGAACCGCCCTTCGGTACCAATTAATTCGTCGGTTGTCTTCAATTTCAAAAATTGAAAATTTAAATTGGAATTTAAATATTCGGTTCGAATACTTACCTTGGATGATTAAAATTGACCTTAAAAAGTAAAAAATGTTAGATTAAAAATAATAAATGGATATTAAATAAATCAAAGAAAAACATAAAAAAAAATAAATAGAATAATAATCAAAGAATAAAAATATAAGAAATAAATAAAAACAAAATAAGAAAAAGTCTTTGAAAATTATTAAAATTCTGCACGTGAATTGCACCATAAAACATATGCAGCCAACTAAACAAAGGGTAAAGATAAAAGTAAATCAAACATCATTCAAACCAAATCCTAAATGGACCCTAATATCTACAAGGATTTTAAAATGATAATGAGGTAAAATCAAGCATGATTAAAAAAAATTAAATAATAAAAGTAATAATTTATACTAAAACTATAATTTACCAGTTGAGGGTAGACTCATGGAATGTAAGGAATATAAGTCAAAAATATAAAAGAACGTAAAATTGCAGTAATGTCAATTTCAAACAAAAGCTACCAAAAGCAAAGGTGGAAGGTGGCAGACAAAATCACAAAAAGTAGAACAAAAGTCCAAAGATTCCCAAAAAGATAAGAAAGTCAACAATTTGGAATCGGATAAGGAGCTCATCACAGGATTTCCAAGACAGGTTCATTGACTGCCCACTGTCGCCCTAAGTTTGAATATTGCTTCGGTGTGCGCCTTTCAAGCTTATCAAGCTTCTTCTGTACATTCCTTCGAAGATCCCAGTTTGGTTTCTTGGGAGCAATGTTGACAAATGGATCCTCTTTTTCTTCGGATGCTGGAGGGGCCTCGGTGCTTTCCTCAACTACGGCAACATGAGTCTCCACTTTCTCAGTGACAACTTCCACAGATTAAGCACTCATAGGATTTTCAATCTCTTTTGCTTTTGCCGGTTTTTTGTAGTCACATCTGATTTTTCCCATCCTCTCCCCATTTTTAGGTATGGTGAGGGGTTTAAATAGGGCCATGCAAGAGAAGAATCCGATGGAAACCAAACACCGAATTTCTAGGGATTCAGAGGAGGTTGAGTTTATTTAGGATGAAAGAAAGTTGTTGGGAGATTGCACTAGCCAGATTTTTAGGGGTTTAGGAATGGTGGGGGTTGAACGAAAATACCTCTTCGTTTTACCTCAACAGAAGGCTTAGCTGTGGCACGTTTCATCAGCTCCAATGCCCCTTTGAAATTTTTATGCCTCAATTCCAACTCTGCCCACTCAGCCCATACACTTACCAGGTGATCAACATTTTTGTAACTTACTTGGACAACTTTATCAAAAAATGACACGAGCATTTGTCAGATCTTTATAAGTTTCGTATAGTTTTGCAAAATCCACCCACAAAGTATGGGGCCTGAAAAAATATTAAATAATAATAATTATAATAATAATAATAATATATGTATTATAAAATATAAATAAAATATGTAATGTATATATACTACATAGTATATATAACTATATAATAATATATATGAACATATAGTATACTATATAGTATAAACATATGCACTATATAATATAATGTATGTGCACTATAGCATATAAACATATTTATACTACGTAATATAATAAATATATATATAAAGGGTCGGACGAAAATAGGTGTCTACAGCTGCCCCTCTTTGTCCTTTTTCGTGAAACGAAAAATAGGACAAAGACAAAATGACACAAATTTTCGTTTGGTGGAGTTGAAGATTGAGTCTGAAAGGATAACTCCCTGTCGAATTGAGTTGTGGATGACCCCTCCGTCGCGAGGTTGAGTCCATCTCGAAATAATATAGAGTTGAAGCCGTAGTTCGGGATTTGAATTGGAATGTGGCTTCTTGTTTGTAGTCTGCGTCAGTCTTCTTCTCGGTTTAAAGACCTTTGTTTAAAAATTTGACTGGATAGTAGTTCTTTCACTCCACCATGTGGTTGACAGGCCCTCGAGCTGTATGAAATCGAAAAAGGTCCTCGTTGACAGATAGCTTTTCTCGACTTCAGCTATGCTGTCGAAAAACCGATTTTTTTGCCACTATGGCACGGTTAACACATGTCTTCTTTTCATCTTGAAAACCTCAGTTGCAGTCGGACAGTAGTGTGATTGTGGTGTCATCGAGCTGAATGGAATCGAACTCGACAATTTTATTGACAGATAGCCCTTCTTGCCTTGTGATATGCTGTAAATGATGTGCCCTCGAAGCTGAGTGTAATCGAACTCGGGGGTCTTTGGCAGATAGCCCTTCTCGACTTAAGCTATGCTACAAAAGATGTGTCGTTGAGCTGAGCGTAGTCGAACTCGTAGGTCTTTGGTTGGGCACGATTCCCTTCTTCGCGAAGTTGAAACCGTGGATGGCCCATTCTTTGTGAAGTTTAGCCTCGAATTGGATATCATTCATCGTGAAGTTGAACTTGTGTTGTCCGGAGTCCAATATCATTCGCTGTGAAGTTGAAATCGGCCCTGAGATTGGGAAACTGTTTATTGACAACCAGCGGTCCCTTTGTCGTGAAGTTGAACTTGCGTTGTCTAGAGTCCAATATCCTTCGTTGTGAAGTTGAAATCGGCCCTGAGATTGGGAAACTGTTTATTGACAACCATCGGTCCCTTCGTCGTGAAGTTGAACTTGCGTTGTCTAGAGTCCAATATCCTTCGTTGTGAAGTTGAAATTGGCTCTGAAATTGAGAAGTTGGTTATTGACAACCAGCGGTCCCTTCATCGTGAAGTTGAACTTACGTTGTCTTGAGTCCAATATCATTCGTTGTGAAGTTGAAATTGGCTCTGAAATTAAGAAGTTGGTTATTGACAACCAGCGGTCCCTTCGTCGTGAAGTTGAACTTGCGTTGTCTGGAGTCCAATATCCTTCGTTGTGAAGTTGAAATTGGCTCTGAAATTGAGAAGTTGGTTATTGACAACCAGCGGCCCCTTCGTCGTGAAGTTGAACTTGCGTTGTCTAGAGTCCAATATCCTTCGTTGTGAAGTTGAAATTGGCTCTGAAATTGAGAAGTGGTTATTGACAACCAGCGGTCCCTTCGTCGTGAAGTTGAACTTACGTTGTCTGAGTCCAATATCCTTCGTTGTGAAGTTGAAATTGGCTCTGAAATTGAGAAGTTGGTTATTGACAACCAGCGGTCCCTTTGTCGTGAAGTTGAACTTGCGTTGTCTGGAGTCCAATATCCTTCGTTGTGAAGTTGAAATTGGCTCTGAAATTGATAAGTTGGTTATTGACAACCAGCGGTCCCTTCGTCGTGAAGTTGAACTTGCGTTGTCTGGAGTCCAATATCCTTCGTTGTGAAGTTGAAATGGCTCTGAAATTGAGAAGTTGGTTATTGACAACCAGCGGTCCCTTCGTCGTGAAGTTGAACTTGCGTTGTCTGGAGTCCAATATCCTTCGTTGTGAAGTTGAAATTGGCTCTGAATTGAGAAGTTGTTTATTGACAACCAGCGGCCCTTCGTCGTGAAGTTGAACATACGTTGTCTGGAGTCCAATATCCTTCGCTGTGAAGTTGAAATTGGCTCTGAATGAGAAGTTGTTGTTGACAACCAGCGGTCCCTTCGTCGTGAAGTTGAACTTGCGTTGTCTGGAGTCCAATATCCTTCGCTGTGAAGTTGAAATTGGATCTGAAATTGAGAAGTTGATTGAGGTGTAGCTTCTTACTGCCGAGTTAATCAACCACCATCCTTCTTTGAAGGCACTTGAGAATCGTGTATTCTTCATCCTGAAGTCAAAACTTGACTCTAAAAGCTGCAAAAACGTGTATGCTAAAATGATGAATGTGATGCACCTAAGTATGTTTAAGATGCATGCAATATGGATGAATTATGTGTTATTTTCTGGATGGAGTCTCGTGCTTTGTCTGTCAATCAGGTCATTGGAATGGATCGTTCCCCATTTGCTTCCCGAGCTTTGGCTTTACAGACCTTTCATATTTGAGATTGTTCTGCTTGAAAATGTTTCTCTCCTTTTTCTTGTTTTAGGAGAGAGACATGACAAAAATGTTGTAAAATATTGTTCGCAATTGAATCAAATTGTAAATGTGAGTTCAAAAAATATCAAAGGAATCAAGAGCTCTTTTAATGCTTTCAGAGTTACAGCTCTTTGACAAACGTTCAAAGGGATGAGTTGGCTTTAGGTTGGCCTCCTTTCTAAGGTTTTGGTAACCCAAAATGTCATTTTTTTTTAAAAATATCGAAATATGCTTTGGCATTTCATTTGGGTGCGGACATAATGACGCAACTAGAATGACCAATTACTAGACATTTTATTTCGGTCCTCTGAAATCTTCCATTTGTTCAAGCTTTGTAGGCTCCTCCAACAAATGTAGTGCAAAAAATATCGGTCTAAAAATGAAATTCTTGAGTGCTCGTGTGTAGTCGACTATAACAGGTGTTCCTTAACTCCCTTAGTCCAACATTACCGAAAAATTCTTGCTCAGATAAATATAGTTTGGCTAGCTGAATCCATAAAGTCGGGGCGTTTAACCAATTACTTTAGAGGGACAGCTTAACATTATAATCACTTTTATCAAGTTCACTGAAGGGTTCATCTCATCACAGAGTCTTCAGCCTGACAAGAGCAGTGGAGCAAACACCGAATTGCCAAGTGTCCGAGCAAAGTCATGGTTTGAACTTAATCTACTCATAAGACCAGGGCTTTCAAGTTTCCTCTATAACCAATTGCCTTAGTGGAATAGCTCAGCTTTACGGATTTAATTTCTTAAGATTGTCAAGAAGAACCTGTTATAGCTTAGGTGTTTGTTGAAAGTCAAAAATTTCATCTTTAGAGTTCAATTTTCAAGCAACTGACCTAAACTAGATTCACATACTCGACTCTTTCATTTGTAAAGATCATCATCGTCATTGAACATCTTAAATAAAAAACATAGTAATTGTCATATGCAAATGATGCCCCATGTTGTTCGTACCTTATGAAAGGAAAAGGTTGTATTAGTTAATTGTAAGAGCAGGGTACGGTGTTTGAGGGTATATTTTGGGTAAGGTCAAGTCCTTGTTTTAAAACATGTTACTTTGTCAAAGATCCGTAACTTTGAACCATTCACAGAGTTTTTTAATTCAAATGATATTCAAAGAATTGCAAGTTTGCAAATGTGATCCATTGTTTAACATCTTTAAAGTAACATAAATTTATTAAAAGTCCTTACAAAACTTGAGAAAAAATGAAAACAAATTCAAACAAAATGTCTCAAATGATGAAATGGTCTTCCTCACTTGGATGCCCCCAAGTTGTTGAAGTTGATCCGATTCTTGTTACGTATTTTCTGTATGATTCTCTTGATTGTGGAGTAATTCTCGATAGTGCGCCCTGGGACTCCGATGCAATGAGCGTTCTCATCATACTACCTGGGGTACGGGGCTTCATGGATTTCTCTGGATATGGTGACACCACATGTTCGTCGAACAAATGTTGGTAAAGCTCCTTATATGTCATAGGGTCGAAGTGTTCTCATTTTTTGATGAATTATGTGAAGATAGTTAATGTGAATGTAAAGAAATGAACAAAATGCAAAATGCTTAAATGCATGAAGCATGAAATATCCGAGGCATTGATCCGAAAAATGTGCCTATTATTCTGAATAATCCTTATTGGGGACAAAAATGTTACGTCTGAAGAGACAAAAAACTTTTTGATGGTATAGATCCCGCACAGCCTCTGGCAAGTTGATTCGTCTTCCGCTTCTTCACCGGTTGAATATCCTGTCGAACCGTTCCAGCTCCTTTGGCTAAACTTGTGCGGGTGATGAGTTGCTTGCCCCAAAAAAAGATCTCGAATGACTGCATCTCCGGCCTTCACTCTATGCCGAGCTCGTTCCAAACGAAAGTGTCTTTGGAGCCTTCCATCCGAAGTTTGTCGACTTGTTTTTGGAATTCATCAATAATGGTCTGCAGCTTAGCTGGGTTCCGCCACTTGTTATCGTAGTTTCAAAAGGAGTTTCTGGGCCAGCAACATTTTCCTCGTCTTGCCCCTGCAACCTTTGCCTCTGAGTATTCTTTGACCACGGCTGGACTTCTGAGCTTTTTATCTTTGTATTATAACCCTTTGTCCATTAATACAAATTATTCATGTTTAACAAACACATTTTTGGTGGATCAACACATCGTTTTAAATGATGCAAACGATGAACACAAAATAAAAGAGAACAAAAAAAAAATAAAAGGGTTAGTGAGGTAAATCAAAACAATAAAAAAATGAAAAATCCTGCCCCACATGATATCTACTCCGCATGCTTTAATTCCTACCCGGACATGATCTCTATCCCGCATGCTAATTTCAAACAAATCCTAACCGCATATTTG